CATAAAAAGTAAGCTAGGGTATTGGTCTTAATATGAGACAAAATGAAATTCAGGCCCAAAGCCTTACTTAAGATGAAGAAGAATTCAAAGTTAAAATGTGTATTTGACAATAAACATTTAACATTATGAATATCTGTCAACCAAGTAACAATATTAAATACAAAGTAACTTTCATAAAGCAACTTTCAGGAGGTACCAGGAAAAATAGGCATAAATACATTAGTAGTAAGTGACTTTTGATTCAGTATCCTTGGTCCAGGGAAGATTAAATGGAAAAACAGTAAGACTGTAGATGACCAAACAATTTAGTCAAATAGGGTAGATTTAATTAATGTATATTGAACTTGACCCTGAAAACAGTGTACCCCTTCTTTTTAGATCTCATTTACAGAGACTTCTCTATAGCCCCCAAAGAAAACTTCAATACATTTTAGAAAGGAGAAACAGTATAGAAAAATCCCAATGCACTTGCATATTAAGTTTAAACAACTCTTGGATCAATGGAGAATACAAATGAAAATTGTAGAATATATAGATGACTGTAGTGATTAGAACACTAGAAATATATGGAATCTAGCTAAAGCCGTGCTCAGAGGAAATTCAAAGCTTTAAGTACTTATACCAATAAATAATAAAAATGAGTGGGTTAAGCAGTTAACTCAAAAAGTTAGAAAAAGATCTAAGTAAATGAAAAGAAGGTAGAAGAAAGGGATTAATAAAAGTAAAAGAAATTAATGAATTAGAAAACAAAGCAGAACTAATTGGCTGTTTGAAAATAGACAAATCGCTAGTTAAGCTAATCAATTATTAAAGAGGAGGGTAGGGGGAAACAAAAATACATGTAATAAATAAAGACTAATAATCATAAATAGCAAAAATTTAAAGATTACTGAGTGTTGGTTGTTCAAGTCTTAAAAAATGAGAAAATCTGGGGCACCTGGGTGGCTCAGTTGGTTAAGCGACTGCCTTCGGCTCAGGTCATGATCCTGGAGTCCCAGGATCGAGTCCCGCATCGGGCTCCCTGCTCGGCAGGGAGTCTGCTTCTTCTTCTGACCCTCCCCCCTCTCATGTGCTCTCTCTCTCTCTCTCAAATAAATGAATGAAATGTTAAAAAAAAAAAAATACTCTAAAAAAAATGAGAAAATCTGTAAAAAAAAAAATGAAGGATTATCATAGGAAAATATAATTTACAAAAAATGACCTTGAATAAAGAAAATTCAAATAGATCAATTTCAGTAGAAGAAATAGAGAAAATTAGCAGAGGAGCAACTCCTCCCCAAAAAGCATCTGGCCCAGATGTTTCATGAGAGAATTCTGCTAAATCTTTGAAGAACGAATAATTTCAGTTCTACTGTTGAAACTGTTTCAGGGCATAGAAAAAGATGGAAAACTTCTACATTTGGGGGGCGCCTTGGTGGCTCATCAAGCCCTGTGTCGGGCTCCCTGCTCAGTGGGGGGGAGTCTGCCTCTCCCTCTGCCTCTCCCCTCCTCTCGTGCTCTCTCTTAAATGAATAAAGTCTAAAAAAAAAAAAAAGAAAACTTCTGCATTTTTTATGAAGCGAGTATAATATTGATATCAAAACCTGATGAAGATTGCATAAAAGAAGAAAAGTATAGATGCAGTCTTACAACTCCAGAAGCAAAACTGTGTTAAACAAATGGAATCTAGCAGCACATTAGCAGAATAATACATCATGAGAAGTTTATTCAGGGTAGAAAAAGATGGTCCATATTAGGAAATCTATTAGTATAATCTTTTTATTGATAAACCTAAGAAGAAGAATCTGTGGTCATTCTGATTACCTCATGAAAAGCATTTGACAAAATTCAAAACCCAGTATAAATAGCATTCAATAAAACAGTAATTGATGACTGATTTCCTTATATACATTTATATATGTGCATATGTATGTGTATTTCAAAACCTAAAGTCATGTCCCATGGTGATATAATAGGCTTTCCTACTAAAGAAAGGAACAAGACAAGAAATTACACTGTTATCACTACTGCTTAATATGGTAGTACAAATACTATTAGCCTTTGTATAACAATACCAGGAAGACCGTCTATGTAATGGGTGTGGGGTGGGGTTGAGCCACATTTACAAACCAAAGATAAAATACTTAGGAATAAACAAACCCAAATGTCAAAAAATTTAAAATAATACTGAAAGATAAAAAAGGCTTAAAAGACAACATGTTCTCATTGGAAAGATTGAACATTGTGTCAGTTTCTCCATAAATTAATACAGTAATTTGATGCACATTCAGTAAAAATATTAACATTCTCTTTTTTCTGGAATTAGACAAAAACTATTCTAAAGTTTATGTAATAAAATAAACAGTGATAGCAAGGAAAATAGTATGGGAGAGAAGCAATGGATAAGGGTTATGGGAATCATACTCCTAAAAAGCCTAAGTATTTAAAACAGTAGAGTGCTTGGGGCTCCTGGCTGGCTACTGATCTCAAGGTTGTGCTCACTTTGGCAGCACATATACTAAAATTGAAATGATCTCAGGGTCGTGAGTTCAAGCCCCACATTTGATATAGAGATTGCTTAAATAAATAAACTTTAAAAAGTGGAATGTCTAGCATGTAAATAAATGGACATAAGGAATGGAAATCCAGAAATATACCTAAATATGTACAGGAATGTAGATCCTAACCTACATCCTAATACCTACAGGAATATAAACATAGGGGCGGCTGGGTGACTCAGTTGGTTAAGCAACTGCCTTCGGCTCAGGTCATGATACTGGAGTCCCGTGATCGAGTCCTGTGTCCTGTGTTGGGCTCCCTGCTCAGCAGGGAGTCTGCTTTTCCCTCTGACCCTCCCCCTCTCGTGCGCTCTCTCTCTCATTCTCTCTCAAATGAATAAATAAAATCTTTTAAAAAAAAAAGGAATATAAACATAAATAGTAAATCCAGAAATAAACCTAAAGATAGGAACTTAGTACATGGTAAAAGTGATATCATAAAATTGTAGGAAAAAGACTTTTCAATAAATGATTTCATTGTAATAAGAAAGAAAAAACTATGAACACACATTGTATACCAGTATCGTATTCCAGGTCCTGAGTCAAAATTTAAATGAAAAGAAAAAGCCACAAGTGAATTTGCGTAGAAGAAAAATATGGGTGAATTTCTTCATAATCTTGGCATGCAGAAGGTCTTTCTACCTAATCAAAATTCAGGAACCATTTTTTAAAAAGTGATAAATTTGGCTATTAAAGCGTGGTACATCCATACAATGGAATATTTTTCAGTGCTAAAAAGAAACGAGCTACCAAGTCACAAAAAGACAGGGAGGAATTTTAAATACCTATTGCTAAGTGAAAGAAGCCAATTTGAAAAGGCTATGTACTATATAATTATAACTAAATAACATTCCAGAAAAGGCAAAACTATAGAGAGAATAAAGAGATCAGTGGTTGCCAGGAGGGAGGAGGAGGGATGGAGGAGAGGGATAAAGAGTTGGAGCACAGAATTTTTAGGGCAGGAAAACTTCTGAAAGATACTCTGTGGATGGGTGGATTTGGGTGGGTGAATGTGTCATTATTCGATTGTCAAAACCCATAGAAAACCCAAAGAGTGAACTCTAAAGTAAATCATGCACTTTGCTTGATAATGATGTGTCAATATAGGTTGGACTGCAACAAATGTACCACTGTGGTGCCGGACAGTTTATGGTGGGAGAGGCTGGGGTAGGGGTGAGCGGAGGAGGGGCGGGGAGGAGGTAGGGAGGTGTGTGAAAACTCTGTAGTTTTCACTCAGTTTTTCTGTGAACCTGAAACTGCTCCGGTAAATAAAATCTATTTTTTAAAAAATCAAAATCTTGTGAAATGTAAAAAACAAACCCATAACCAAAATAAAATAAAGTCTGACAACTCAATAAAAAAAAGGCAAGTAACATAGACAAGAATAGACAGAAAAGGTGACAGAGAAGGAAATATGGATGACCCATAACCATAAAAAAAGATGCTCAACATTATGGCATGAGAAATGCAGATTGTAACTACTCAGAGTAAACATTTTTCACCTATCATTGGTAAAAATCTAAAAGTGTTACTCTAGTAAGGCTGTAGGGGAGTGTGAAAAGGTACAGATACCCTGGAGGGCAACTTGGCAATAACCATCCGAATTAAAGTTGAATTTATCTTTAACCCAGCAGTTTTACTTCTGGAAATTTATAGCTATCCTGGCCCACGAATGAAATAACATGTAGATATGGCTATTTATTTCAGCATTGTTTGTAAAAATAGCAAAAGATTAAAAACAACTCATGTGTTCACCAGTAGTGAACTAAGTAAGTAAATTATGGTACATCTTACAGTGGAATACTGTGCCATGTGAATGTATTTATGTACAATAACAAAGTTTTTTTTTAAAGGTACAACACAGTACTTGCTGAATTTTTATCCCGGAGTAACTTTAACAGAGAATATATAAACTAGTGGTGTGTGGAATTGTAGCTTAGAGTGACCAGCTTCTTAAAATTTCTGCTAAATTTATCTTTAAAATCTGTAGGCTTACTATATTCTTCTCTGTAATTAGCCTTTAAAATTAATTTTTAAAACTGCTCTTAGTCACTTAGTAATCCTGATCCAGGAAGATGTACCTTGTTTATTGTGTGCTTTCTCTTAGTCTGATACACTGTCACCCATCCTCACCTGAGAAGTATATTGTGTAGGAAAATTAATCCCTCAGGTACTACCCTATATTGTGTTTTTTTTTTTTAAGTTTTTTTCCAGACTGATTTTTCAGTTGAAGGACTATAATTTGTAAACAATTAGAAAAGCCCTATATTTGTCTCAAAATAATTTAACAAGTTTTTCTTCTTTCTAATATTGACTGTTCCCACCAAATGATACCTAAACCAGTTTGATTTATTGGCATTTGGACTAATGAAGAAGTGGTTGGTTCAGTATATTTCTATGTAAAAAATGTTTGTGTTCTAGGTTACATGTTCAATATATTTCTATGTAAAATATTCTCTTTAGCAGGATGAAGTTAAAGGAAGTAGACCGTACGGCCATGCAGGCCTGGAGCCCTGCCCAGAATCATCCCATTTACCTAGCTACAGGTAAGTTCAACAGAGAGAAGATAGTATGAGTCACTTAATTTCTTCTTTTCCACATTTGGTTTATTCATACCTGTCCTTTAAAACTCATTTCGAGCTTCATCTCTTCTAGAAAGCTTCTCCTTCCCTAACGAGATAACTCCATCCTCCCTTTCAGCTGAGTTTAATGACCTTCCTCTGCGTTCCCTTTAGCACCTTGTTCATCATAGCATTAATCATGATAGGGGCGCCTGGGTAGCTCAGTCAGTCAAGTGCCTGCCTTTGGCTCAGGTCATGATCCCAGGGTCCTGGGATTGAGCCCCACATCGGGTTCCCTGCTCAGCAGGGAGTCTGCTTTTCCCTCTCTCTCTCTCTCTGCCCCTCCCTCACTCATGTGCGCACGCACACACACACACACACACACACTCTTTCTCAAATAAATAAATTTCTTAAAAAAATCATATTTATAGTGTCTTCCTCACTTCATAAGAATTATGTTTCATCTTTATTCCTCCACTATTAAGCACAAGAGATAACATGTAAAAAAAAGTTAATAAATATCAGTTTGAATGAAGAACAATTTTGATGCTAGCATTTTTATATAAAAAGAGAGTTACATCATTTATGACTATAAGCAGGTATAGTAAATCAAGAGACTGTTTGTACAGAGAGCTTTTAAAATATCTACAGGTTTAAAAAGTTATCTGCACTATCTGCTCTCACAAACATCATCTCCAAGCCTTGTATCAGAATCTCATTGCTATAGTAATTTAAGCATCTGTTCAATGACATGCATCCTGAGATGTTAGTCACTAATGGAGCATTCGTGAGTGAGATCATTGGAAAACATGCATTTAATTTCTGTTTTGTGAGGTTTTCTCTGAGTCTTTTATTTTTGCATTGTAGTTACCATAAATGTATTTTCCGTAGGAACATCTGCTCAACAATTGGATGCAACATTTAGTACCAGTGCTTCCCTTGAGATATTTGAATTAGATCTTTCTGATCCATCCTTGGATATGAAATCTTGTGCCACCTTCTCTTCTTCTCATAGGTATGAGATTGATGAATCTTAAATTCACATTACTTATGGTTGTGGTTATTATGTTGTGGTTGATGCCTAGTTTGTCTATAAATATGTTGTTATTAGAAACTGCAAGGAATGCCATCAATGACATGAAATATTTTGTGAAAAAGTATATGAGTGAATTTCTATCTATGGAAGTAAAAGAAGGGTCTGTATGTTCTATTGACTTTTTTATTGCCAACTGACATGTGTAGGATAGGAAGGAGAGCCTCAATTTTCTAGTAGTTTTTTTCCTCATGGTATAGTAGACATACTGTCTTTTATCTCCTTTTTCTCAACTGTTTACAAAAAAAGGATAGGTATGGCTTAAAAAAGGAGTAGTTGGATGAATATTAAGGTGTTAGAAGTGATTATCTCTGAATGGTAGGTTATTTTTTTCATTGTACCTATCTATATTTAGAAATATATTTCACAAAGATTTTTGTTGACATGATTTCTGATACAGTAGGTATTTGGGTCATCTTTCCAAGTACTTAACATCGTATCATAATGCAGAAAAAAGACACTTTCATTTGAGTAGTAAAATATGCTTTATTGTCTCAGTAGCTTGGCAGATTTTGGTGAAGAGATTGTACTCTAGCAGACAGCGCATAGCTCAAATCATGGAGTCTCATGGGACCTCTCATAGTTTTCAGAGCTCTCCCACTGTGGTGGGAACCTCAAATACCTTTTGTCTGTCAGTTTTCCTACGCACCACCATTTGTGTCATTGTATACTTCCATGCCACCTTCATATTTTGAATCTTTATTCTCCACCAGTGGGGGTACTTACCATAATAAACATAATTTTGATGTCACTTTTCCACTGTTGGAATACATTACTTTTCTTAGAAAATGTTATATACCTCCTTTAACACCTCTATTGCTTAACAGACCTCTTGTCAGTGAGTACTTCTATAGTCAAATAATATCAAGGGAAGTGGTTGATTAGAGCTGTTTTACAGATGAACCAAAAGCAGCTTAGGAAGATTCAATAACTTGTCCAGGGTCTCACAGTTTCTAAATGGTAAAACCATTCTTAAGTCCATATCTTTTGATACACAAATCAAGTATACTTTTTGACATTATATTACCTCTACCAGAAAGCTTTTACTCTTCAGGATTATAAAATCAAATATGCACATATGAATATAAATAAAAACTAAAATGCCGTTTCACCAAGTCATGCACGGTTACCAGGAATAGAGGAGAAGCAATGTTTTTATTTATGAAAACATGGAATTGAATATATAATTTCAAATGCTTTTCTATAACTATTTGACTTAAATCAGTTATTTACTCATTTTCTCTTAAAGGTACCACAAGTTGATTTGGGGGCCTCATAAGATGGATTCCAAAGGGAATGTCTCTGGAGTTCTGATTGCAGGTGGTGAAAATGGAAATATTATTCTTTATGATCCTTCTAAAATTATAGCTGGAGACAAGGAAGTTGTGATTGCCCAAAATGACAAGCATACCGGCCCAGTAAGAGCCTTGGATGTGAATATTTTCCAGGTTAGACTTTTGACGTTTATTCATAATTCTTGAGATACATACTGCTTATTTGAAATAAGCATATGAATCTGCTATGCCTCAGTCTTGGAATTAAAAGCTAAAAATGTGTGCCTGTGCAGGTTGATGAGTGAGTGTATTTTTTTGAAGAATGGAGGGTTCAGAGTTGGGATCAAGGTAAACGATAATAACTCCATGGAGGGGATCAGGCAACGAAGAGTCAGGCAGTCTACTTTTGCCATCATAAACATTACTGAATATTAATTATATAAATGTATAGGTTAGCAAAGATCTTGAGTTAATAGGATATTAGAGCATAACGACCAAAACATGAATATTATCTCAAAGTTTAAAATAGTTACTTTTCTTATAAATAAATACTTAGGGTATAGAAATACAACCTGAACTTCTTTTCCATAGTTTATGGTGCCTACTCTTTAGATTAGATAGTTAGTTCCTTTGTTAATTAGTTTAAACAGCAGCTGCTTCTTGGTTAGTGTCTTGTGTTATAGGTGACTACAACCATAGAATTCCTCTGTTTTCATAGTTATATGTCAGTTGATCAGAGAAGAATTTATGAGAGTGAATAATAAAGGATGAAAGCCAGTATATGAAACCCATTATCTTCCTGTACTTCCTATCACAGTTTTAGGGTCTTTTTGACCCTAAAGGTATGCAACAGAGAGAACTTAGAAATACTGCCACCCAGAACAAGACTGAGTGTAAATGAACTAGAAAGACATGAGGATTTACGACAAGAGGTTTTCCAGAAGCTGGCTTTGAAGTATCCGGAGATAGATGCCATTATTTTAAGATTCAGTTATTTATCTGAAAGCAATAATTGGTTTTGCCTATTTTTGTCTCTCTCTCACAATCAGATCCCCTTCCTGCACAAATGGTAATCCCCACATGGTTGCATGATTGTTTAAGAATTTATCCATATAATTATTTTTTAATCTCTTGTATTATAATGCCAGTAGACCTACTGTCTTTTTAGTGAAATAGAATTTTATAACATGCTTCTCTGAAAAACTATTGCAGTTTCAGATTATTATCCATAGCATTTAGGAATTCATGAGTTTTGTTTTTTTAATTAAAGAGAAAAGTTGTATACCCTAAAACTGATAGAGCTGTCTATCTCTGAACAGTTACTCAGAGTTCTCTTAATTATTCATAAATGCTATTTCATTATTAATTATTTCTTATTGCAGACTAATCTGGTAGCCTCTGGTGCTAATGAATCTGAAATCTACATTTGGGATCTCAACAATTTTGCAACTCCAATGACACCAGGAGCCAAAACACAGGTATTGCATTGATTTTGATGTGATCAAAAGAACCAAAACTGGTTCTTCAACACTTATTTATTTCATTTTTTTCACACAAAATATATTTGTTTAAAATCAGTGTTTAGATGTTACTGATTTTCCTTCAGTATAGCAAAGTATTAGTAAATGTGTTTTTCAAAGTATCAATGAGTCCTTCAACAGCAAATATTTATTCAGTGCCTACCACCAGATACTGTTTGATGTACTAGACATATAGTAATGAATAAAATAGACAAGTCTGATAATTTTTTTTAGATACAGTATTTTATATAGTATAATATTTGTGTTGTATAGTATTTTGATGATATCTCACCTTAGAATAAAAATCATAGACTAGAAAGGAAACTTATCTTTTAAAAAAACAACTCAACCCCTTTCCTATTTCTTTCTGTAAGTTAAGAAAGAACAGTCTTCCACTTGCCTCCTTGAAGTTTATGTTATATAGACTACTCAAATTGAGTAGCCATTATAATGGGCCCCAACATTCTGGCCATCTTAGAGGTAGTATAATGACAGCATATGATCTACCATTTATTTTTATTTATTTATTTATTTATTTATTATTTTTTATTTATTTTTTTTAAGAGGTCAGTACTCTTTTTTTTTAAAGATTTTATTTATTTTTTAGAGAGCGAGCGAGAGAGAAACAGCATGAGAGGGGAGAGGGTCAGAGAGGGAGAAGCAGGCTCCCCGCTGAGCCGGGAGCCCGATGTGGGACTCGATCCCAGGACCCTGGGATCATGACCTGAGCCGAAGGCAGACGCTTAACCATCTGAGCCACCCAGGCGCCCTTTATTTATTTATTTTTTAAGGATTTTATTTATTTATTTGAGAGAGAGAGAGAGAGCACATGGGGTTGAAGGGCAGAGGGCAAGGGAAAGAGAGAATCCCAAGCAGACTCCCCGCTGAGTGCGGAGCCTGACGTGGGGCTCAGTCTCAGAACCCTGAGATCATGACCTGAGCTGAAATCCAAGAGTTGGACGCTTAACCCACTGAGCCACCCAGGCGCCCCTAGGCTATAAGTTTTGCTCTGCCTAGTTGTCCATCATACTTATCAATGTCTACTTTGTAGTTCATTATCTACCTTGTGGCAGTTGCAAATTAAGAAAAAGTGCTTGATTTGTAGCAAGAGCTTAATAAATGCCTGGTGAATGAGACAATATTAAACAAGGTAAAATACTTGAATTGGCATATACCTGAGCTCTAAATTGTATTATATTTATTGAGAACTTAGAAATATAAAAAAATTTATGGAATGAATAGATCAGATTTTAATTAATTCATTTTTTAAAAAGAAGGATCAGATTTTGTACTTAAATTTGATCATAACTGAGAAATGGTTTTTAGTAGTTTCTTCCTTTTAGCCCCCAGAAGATATCAGCTGCATTGCATGGAACAGACAAGTTCAGCATATTTTGGCATCAGCCAGTCCCAGTGGCCGGGCCACTGTATGGGATCTTAGGAAAAATGAACCTATCATCAAAGTTAGTGACCATAGTAACAGGGTAAGTATATGATTGATTTGTCATATACAGAAACATGCTATGTTTCTGCTGTACGTATTTCTATATTGTTTGTCAGTGTTGACAACAAATCAAATTTTTGTAAAGTCAAATCCTGTCTTTTCATGGACCAATCATGTTGGAATGAGGTTTTTCCTTGGGGAAGATAATAAAATTTCTAATAAACCATGTTGGATATTGTTAATGATGAAGAGAGAGATTGTTAATTAAATACCTTATTCCATGATATACTGGTTGTTTTTACTTTACTAGCTGTTTCAAAGCATTATAGCAACTTTTTATCTTTAGCTTTCTCTAGAATGTACACATTTTTCCAGCTAATAATTGTATGACTGTGAACTTGTAGTTTCCATACTCCTGGCTTCATCTCTTCTGATTAGGTCCTGCTAAAGTGAGCTAATATTCTCCCGTTTGCCTAGTAGATGTAGTTGTATTAACACATTAAATTTTTGACCTAACAAATTCCTTAATACTATGTCATAATGTGCTATAAAATATTTTAGACATAATTAAGGGCCTCATTTTGTTAGTTTTTAATTACATTGTTTAGTTTGACATTTTTAAAAACAAGTTTGCCTAAATCAGAGAATACATATATAATTTAACAATAACCACAAAAAAACTATTTAAAAAAATATTTCTTCAGGATGTTGTTTTTCAATGAATTAGGAATTTTAAGACAAGTTTTAATTGAATAAAGCATACAATAAGCATTTCCATTATCGTCTGGAACATTTAATAGGATCTGAATGTCCAGGTAATTCTCAGTAATACTGTTAATTTATTCCATGTGAAAATTTAAGTGGTAGCTGTTGCTTTAGACATTTTGTCTTGACTTTTTTGACAAAATAGAGGAAAGGCGTGGATTTTTTTTTTTGTTATAATCTTTTTAAAAAAATGATTTATTTGTGAGAGAGAGAGCGAGCAAGCTCCATGGGGGAGGGGCAGAGGGAGAGAGACAAGAGAAGCAGACTGTCCACTGTGTGTGGAGCCCAACATGGGAGCAATCCTAAGACCCTGAGATGAACTGAAAACATTTAAACTTTTTACTTTTAAGAGTACTGTTTAAGGCTGTTTAATAAAATTTAATAGTTTTAAAGAGACATCACATCTTGAAGGCTCCAAATGCAGGCTCTGGAGATAGCTGTCAGGATTCAAAATTTAATGGTTTTAGGTTTTGTTTTTTGTTGTTTTTTTTTTTTAATAAACTAAGCCTGAACTGATGTTTTCTACTATTTGTTTCAACAAAGGCATGTTCCTCAAGCTCATTTTGGCTCTTCATAAAGTAATAGGATTGATACATTGTGAGCCTTAACTATCTGCAGATGCATTGCTCTGGGTTGGCGTGGCATCCTGATGTTGCGACTCAGATGGTCCTTGCCTCTGAGGATGATAGATTACCAGTGGTCCAGATGTGGGATCTTCGCTTTGCTTCCTCTCCACTCCGTGTCTTGGAAAACCATGCCAGGTATCATGCTGCTCTTCCAAGGAACTTGATTTCTTTATTTTTAAAAACACATTTACTTATTATTTTGAATTATCAGATAATTATTTTTAAATTCAGGAATCTATTTTGTCACTATCTTGTAAAAGTTACTATGAATGGTTTTTATTTGAAGCAATAATCATCTGATTTTCTGTTCCCAAAAATGGTAGCCAATTCATATCCTAACAGTACGAAAATGTGATAAAGGATATTCCACTACTTTTTTCACATTATAATTAATAGATTAAAATTCCAGTATACCACCACACTTTACTCTTGACATTATCCAGTTTGATCTTTATTAGGGTCAAAATACTCCATAACATTCAGTGACAAGCAACAGTTAAAAAGTTTGTTTTATTTCTAAGTTTCTTTTTTTTTTTTTTTTAAAGATTTTATTTATTTGACAGAGAGACACAGCCCGAGAGGGAACACAAGCAGGGGGAGTGGGAGAGGGAGAAGCAGGCTTCCCGTGGAGCAGGGAGTCCGATGCAGAGCTCGATCCCAGGACTCTGGGATCATGACCTGAGCCGAAGGCAGATGCTTAACGACTGAGCCACCCAGGCACCCCTATTTCTAAGTTCCTATTTTAATTTAAAAGCATAGAAATTTAGATTATTCTGCTTTTATTTTAATTTTTAATTTTTTATTATTTTTTTAAGATTTACTTACTTTTGAGAGAGAGAGAGCACAAGTGGGAGGGGCAAAGGGAGAGGGAGAAAGAATCTCAAGTAGAGAGCACAGAGCCCAACTTGGGGCTTGTTCTCGCAATCCTGAGATCACAACTTGAGCTGAAACCAAGAGTTGGACCCTTAACCAGCTGTGCCCCATGCAGGTGCTCCTGCTTTTAATTGTAATAAATGTGCACATTCTCTAAAAAGATATGAGTGGGGTGCCTGGTTGGCTCAGTCGATAGAGTGAGGGGTTGTGAGTTCGAGCCCCACTTGGGTGTAGAAATTACTTAAAAAAATCTTTAAAAAATTAAAATTAAAAAAAATTAAAAGATATGCAAATTTTCTCATGTTAGGTTCGGTAGCATTAAATTTAATTGTAATTTGGCATGTTTCCTAACATTGATTTTCAGGTACCCAGGGAGTTTATATGTATTTGTTCGACAGTTCGAAACAAGAAACAATTCCCTTTTAATGTTACAATATTTTCTGAGTACTTTTGGGCTTTCTTATTTAGGGATATGTAGACTAAAGCTTTAAATCCTATTTTCCCACTGGGTAGTGGATTTTCACACTGAGAAGTCTTAAAGTTTGTGACCTCTCCTTTAGCTTCTTATAAAGGAGAAAAGAGTCCAGTAAAAATGTAATCCTATTTAGATGTTATGCTTCAATAAGCTTTTTAGTGAAGAAGGGATGATTCTGATAAGTTTTAATATTTTTTCCATGTTAGATAAGGTTTTGTTCATTCATTCAGCACATACTTACTGAACGTGTGCTCTGTACCAAGCACTATACTAAGATTCAGTGATATAACATAAAAATCCCTGCCTTCGGGGAGTTTACATTATAGTGGGAGGACAACTAACATTTGTATAACATGTAAAGTGTACAAGAACTTTAAATATTAAGTCAATTAATCCTCATAACAAGCCTATGGTGTAGATACTGTTAACCCATTTTACAAATTGGAAATTGAAGCTCAGCAAGGTAAACTTGACCTAGGTCATATAACTAGTCAAGTGCTGACTTCTGATCCAAACATTCTGATCCCAGAATCTGTGCTCTTAACTCTATATTCTACTGCCAATTTTAGGTGTGATCATAATTTAGCAAGACGGAAGACCGCACTGAGTTGCAGGAGCAAATCAACTCTCTGATTTCTCAGTTTTCTCCTAATAATATATGCAAGAGGTGGTTTATGATATTTAAGGTCCTTCCCTGCTCTATAATTCTGTGATTTTTTTGGTCTTTAATACTTAGTAAGAACCTAAATGTTCTTTAAAATGTGATATTAAATATGTATGAATTTCTTTAAAAGGCATTCTTGGGGCTCCTGGGTGGCTCAGTCGTTAAGCGTCTGCCTTCAGCTCAGGTCATACTGAGCCCTGCATCAGGCTCCCTGCTCAGCGGGAAGCCTGCTTTTCCCTCTCCCACTCTCCCTGCTTGTGTTCCCTCTCTCGCTGTGTCTCTCTCTGTCAAATAAGTAAATAAAATTTAAAAAAATAAAAATAAAAGGCATTCTTGATATGCTTGACATGCTTGAAATTCTTGACATGTATGATTCTATTCCAAAGGGGGAGCAGTTAGAAAATATATTACTGGGGCGCCTGGGTGGCTCAGTCGTTAAGCGTCTGCCTTCGGCTCGGGTCATGATCTCAGAGTCCTGGCATCGAGCCCCACGTTGGGCTCCCTGCTCGGCGGGGAGTCTGCTTCTCTCTCTCCCTTTCCCTCTGCCACTCCCCCCTGCTTGTGCTCTCTCACACGCTCTCTGGCAAATAAATAAAATCTTTAAAAAAAAAAAAAAAAAATATATTATTGATGCAGTTGGGGAAATTTGAATATGGACTATATATATTTAAATACTGTATGTAAGTAATAAATATTTTCAGTATATAATTGTATTATGGTTATGCAGAAGAATGCTGTGATTGTTTTTTTGGTCAATGGTCAATGTGTATATGGAGAGAGAGAGAAAACCACATAAAGTAAATGTGGCCAAACCAATGAGTCAAAGTGAGGAGTATAAGGCTGTACATCATACTGTCCTTATAATTTTCACAAAGATTTTAACTTTTTAAAAATAAAATATTGGAAACAAAAGGCAGTCTTAAACAATTTAGGTTCTTTTCCTATACTGTGTTTTCCTGATTCTGAGAGGATATTGAACATCTTTATAGTGATCAAAGAACATACGCATTCCTAAATTGCTTTCTGTAAAGATTATATGAAATTATGCTTCTGTTAGCAGCATGTGTCTCCAGAGCCTAGACAGGAATCATTTGGAGACTTGGTTTTCTCAAGATTAAAAATTTCTTCATCTTGTGTTTTATCTAGGGGGATTTTGGCAATTGCTTGGAGCATGGCAGATCCTGAATTGTTGCTGAGCTGCGGAAAAGATGCTAAGATTCTCTGCTCCAACCCAAACACAGGAGAGGTATGAGGAGGAAATATTTCTCAGACTTATAGCTACTATAATATTTATTCTCTAGCTGAATAAGAAATTTTCCATATGGATTCTTTGGTGCATTAATATAATTAAGGACATGGAGATAGAGGTATGTGTGAAATGTTAATCTAGGAGAGATTTTATCAGAAATATTATTTAAGCTCACCTGTTTTATCTAAGAAAATCAGCCATTGAAATAGCTTATTTGAAATTAGTAATCCCCTACCCCCCATTTCTAATAAAAGGTGTTTACCTACACTCAGAAGTACTTGGTTTGATTTATTTAACATGTGATCTCTGAAAATCAGTGCTTTTAAAGCAGGAGTGTTCAAGATTTGGGTCTTTTTCCTGCTTTACCATTCCTGAAGATCCTCTCTGATTTTGGAAATCAGTAGATGTATGTTAATTTCTCTTCTGAACTATACAGCAGGAATATACTTAACAATACTTGTCATATGTTCTACCCATAGAAATTTAGATGTGGGAAATTTTACCTCTTCTTCAATATCAATGTTATATAAATATAACAATTACTTTTAATTGCTTTGGATTAAATTAATGGGCTAAAAAAAATCTCTTTAAGTATTTTAAAAATTATTTTTCTTAGCTGAATGGTTTCCCTCTTTTTCAGTATTGGGCAAGAGGCCATAGATTTTTGTTTTTTAAGTTTTTATTTTATTTTTTAAGGTTTTATATATTTATTAGAGAGCTCGAGCACCAATTGGGGGGAGGGGCAGAAGGAGAGGGAGAAGCAGACTCCCCGCTGAGCATGGAGCCCAATGAAGGGCTCCATCCCAGGACCCAGGCAGACGCTTAACCATCTGAGCCACCCAGGCACCCCTCTTCAATAGGTTTTAATGTATAATATTAAAGTAGAAACAAGCACTTTTGTTATTTGATTTGTGGTTTAAAGTTTTCGGATGCAGTAATATATAGAAGAATATAGAAACATTAATTAGGGGAGATAGGAGAAAAAAATTAAAGTAGTAAGTTTTGCCTCATATGTTTGTAGACCAAATAATAAAATCTTGCATTTTATACTGTGCCTTCCCAAGGGAGTTCAAAATCATGGAAATTACTGTTCTAATTTTCTCAGTTATATGATTTTTTTTTTTTAAAGATTTTATTTATTTATTTGAGAGAGAGAATGAGAGAGAGAGAGCATGAGAGGGGGGAGGGTCAGAGGGAGAAGCAGACTCCCTGCCGAGCAGGGAGCCCTATGGGGGACTCGATCCAGGGACTCCAGGATCATGACCTGAGCCGAAGGCAGTCGCTTAACCAACTGAGCCACCCAGGTGCCCCTCAGTTATATGATTTGATAAAATGAATTTTGCATATGATTAGTTGTGTGTGCTTGGACTTTGAAGGAATAAACTTTTAGTACATGCTGCAACTAAAAAGTTTAGTAGATTTTTATTCAAATGCAAATTAGGAATAGAACAGTGGTTTAAATAACATGAATAATGAGTCTTATCAACCAGTTAAGCCTTAAAGATGAGTAGGCTAGGTACCTTTTCACTTAATTCTGTTTTCTTATAAAATAAAACATTTAAGGGGCACCTGGGTGGCTCAGTTGGTTAAGCGACTGCCTTTGGCTCAGGTCATGATCCCGGAGTCCCGGGATCGAGTCCCGCATCGGGCTCCCTGTTCAGCAAGGAGGCTGCTTCTCCCTGTGACCCTCCTCCCTTTCATGTGCTCTCTCTCTCTCAAGTAAATAAATAAAATCTTTAAAAAAATTAAAAAATAAAACATTTAAACTATCCCACAAAGTCCACGTTAAGATAATTTGACTTCTTAAAGCCATAAAACCAGGGTGCCTGGGTGGCTCAGTCAGTTAAGCATCTGCCTTCGGCTCAGGTCTTGCTTCCAGGGTCCTTGCATCTAGCCCTTAGTCTGTCAGGCTCCTTGCTTCGCCAGGCTCCTTGGTCAGCAGAGTCTGCTTCCCCCTCTCCCTCTGCCCTTCCCCCTGCTCATGCTTGTGCCCTTTCTCTCTCTCTCTCAAATAAAATCTTAAAAAAAAAAATACGTAAAATCTATGCTCTTTAGGTGCATCAGTTATCATCACACTAACTTTGAGTTAGCAGTTACTATTGCATTGTAAAGGTTTTATACCAACCGTTTTTTATAGTTTTTCCATATTTTCCTTCTAAACTGTTTATGCTGAATCAGTTTCCATTCTGCAGTAGTACAAATGATGTATACATGTTTTTGCTTGACTAAAAACCAAATTTCTCAGTGATTCTTCCTTCTTGAGGCTATTTTTTAAATGTGGTCTTCAGATAGCCTAAATATGGTTGTTTGGATCTTGGCAAGCAAAAATAGTTGGGCAGGAGACCATTATCTTTTAGAGTTTTAACAAGCTGATTCTAATTTGTTCTGGTCTTTCAGATGCACCCGCTACTACCACTTCAATAAAACAGAAAAACCTTAGTTTTTAATACGTACTTATTCTAAATCTGGTCAAAATTTTGAAGAAGCATTCATTTTTATCATAATAGATCACCATAGTGGACTCCTTTTGTACTTTAAACAAATTTTTACAGTTGTTTTTCCTGGCTCAACATACTTTCTTAAAGGAATTGTTTAAGCTGCACATGTTGATCATATTAATTCGGGTGTTTTGGCTATAAAGTGGCTATACCATTTTCTGACTTTTGTTGTTGTTGTTGCCTAGGTGTTATATGAACTTCCCACCAACACGCAGTGGTGCTTTGATATTCAGTGGTGTCCCAGAAATCCTGCTGTCTTATCAGCTGCTTCCTTTGATGGGCGTATCAGTGTTTATTCTATCATGGGTGGGAGCGCAGATGGCTTAAGGCAGAAACAAGTTGACAAGGTAATAGAAAGTGTTAAAATTTTCAATCATAACATTTGAAAAATACCATCTTATTGTTTAATTATTTTGAAAATGACTTCACTAATCAGTGCTACTGCTTAATTGGATAATTGTGATAAAAATATTTCATGGGTATAACTTGAAAACATGTAACATAATCTCATATAAATTACAAATTCTCATGTTATTATATTTTTTAGCTTTCATCATCTTTTGGAAATCTTGATCCCTTTGGCACAGGACAGCCCCTTCCTCCATTACAAATTCCTCAGCAGACTGCTCAGCATAATATAGTGTTGCCTCTGAAGAAGCCACCCAAGTGGATCCGAAGACCTGTTGGTGCTTCCTTTTCAGTAGGTGGATTTGTGTTTTTATGGTCCATAAGCACAAAGAACTTCCCATAGTAAAGTGTTCTTACAGGATCACTCAGATGGAAGAAGATTGAGATGTGTCGGTAGGTTTTTCATCATTCAAAATGGTTTCTCAGGAAAAATGGGACCTTCTCTTTTTTGTTTTTATTTTAAATTGTGGTAAAATATAAATAACATAAAATTTACCATTTTAACCATTTAGAAATATACAGTTCGGTGGCATTAAGTACATTTACATTGTTGTGCAACCTTCACACTGTCCATCCCATTATTAAACTTATCTTCCTTCTCTATCTCTCCTTCCTTCAATCTTTTTTTTCTTTTTTTCTTTGGAGGAAGGTATATCTGTGTATCGTCCTTCCTTCTCTTTATTCCTTCCTTCTAGCTTTTTTTTTTAATTGCCAATTTCTTTTCTTTTTTATGTTAAAAAACATGTAGCATAAATTTACCATTTTAACCCTTTTTAAGTGTACAGTACAGTATGTTAACTATATACACTTGTTGTGCAACAGATCTCCAGAACTTTTTTATCTTGCAGAACTGAAACTCTTTTCCAGTTGAACAACTGCTCATTTTTCCCTTCCCTAGCCCCTGGTAATCACATTCTACTTTCTGTTTCTATGAGTTTGACAACTTTAGATACCTCATATAAATGGAATCATGCAATATCTGTCTTTTTGTGATTGTTTTGTTTCACATCGCGTAATGTCCTCAAGGTTCATCCATGTTGCTGTGTATGACAAGATTTCCTACTTTTAAAAGGCTGAATAATAGTCTACATTTTCTTTATCCATTAATTTATCAATGGACATTAAAGTTGCTTCCACCTCTTGCTAGTGTGAATAATGCTACAAAGAACATTTGTGTGCAATTATGTCTTTGAGATCCTATTTTCAATTCTTTTGGGTATATACTCAGAAGTGGGATTGCTGGATCTTATATGTTAATTCTATTTTTAATTTTTGAGGAACCTCCATACTGTTTCCCATAGTGGCTGCACCATTTTACATTCCCATCAACAGTGCACATGGGTTCTAATTTCTCTACATCCTCAGTAACACGTGTTATTTTCTGGTTTTTTAGATAACAGTCATCCTAATGGATATGAAATTATATCTAATTGTGGTTTGATTTGCATTTTCCTAATGATTAGTGACGTGGAGCATCTTCTCATGTATCTGTTGGCCATTTGTATGTCATCTTTGGAGAAATGTCTGTTCAAGTCTTTTGCCCATTTTTTTAATCAGGTTGTTTGGGGTTTTTTGTTATTGAGGTGTAGGAATTCTTTATATATTCTGAATGTTAACTCTTTACCAGATAAATTATTTGCAAATATTTTTCTCCTATTCTGTAGCTTTTTTACTCTGTTGATTATTTCCTTGGCTGTGTAGAAGACTCATTTGTCTATTTTTGCTTTTGTTGCCTGTACTTTGGTATTATATCTATATCATTGCCATATTAATGTCCTCAAACTTCAGCTTAGAAAACTTTGGTTATTCCTATAGACCAGAAAGAAGAAATAAAGTCCTTTCCTAAATATTTTCAATTTCACTACTCTTTTTAAGTCTTGCATAGAAGAGTCCACCTGTCCAGTGTTGGGTTACTTTCTTCATACAACCTACAGGTACAATAAAACTTCATTAGTAATATTAATAGCTAAAGTGTATTTATTTATTGTGTGCCAGCCTGTTCTAAGCATTTTGCATATAGTAACTCATTAAATTCTCACAACTGCTTATAAAATAGCTACCACTATTACCCCCATTTTGTAGATAGAAAGGAGCAGAGAAATTAATAACTTGTCTAATCTTACACTTATAAAGATTTTAGCTGTTCTCCTGCCAGTCTAATCAGATGCCTACTGTACATAATGATGAGAGTGAGTCTCTTGGTAATAATGCCCAAAACTGAGGTACTAAACTTATATTATTTGCGGCGCCTCGTGGCTTAGTCGGTAGAGCGTGTGACTCTTGATCTCGAGGTCATGAGTTCAAGCCCCACATTGGGGGGAGAAATTACTTAAAAAATAAAAATTTTAAAAAAGCTTTTATTATTCAGCTTCTCCATCATCATAACAGAATTTATACACATCATAGAATTATATGTATTCACCTTTATCGAAACTGAATGATCTTCTCTTTAGTTACTATTGAGTTCTTACTATCATTCGTCTATTAGTCAAGCTCAGAACTTTTTTTCAATCTCTTATATTTTTTCGATCTCTTATATTGCTCTCTTTATAAATCTCTTGGATTTAATTCTTCCTTTAACTTTGCTGTTACTCTGCCTAATTCTTCCATCTTTTCACACTGAACTGTTATATGATTGCCTGTCTATTGCTTGTCTGTTCCCCCTCCAATCTATACTACATCTCTAGATTAATCTTCCTAAGATAGACCTTTGATTATGTCACTCATAAATCCACTTTTTGGATTTAATTAATTAATCTTCTCATCCCTCCTGTTTAGTTTTCTCTACTATCTCTACTCCTGCCTTGGAATCTTTTCCTTTGTTTATGACTTCCCATTTTTTTTACTGAATACTAACCATTCATCCAGTTAGTTCCTTCCTTCCCTTAGTAACTAAAACAATTATTATTATAAAATTGTATGTGTACAGGTTTAAAAGAAAACCAAAATGTGCAGAAAAGATCCCCCCAAATACAAGCTTCTTGAGGACAGACTGTCTAGTTCACAGGTATGTTTCCAGTGCCTAGAATGGTCCCTGACAAATAGACGGTGTTCACTATATATTTATCTTAGGAACGAGAAGTGAACGTCTTTCCCTTCCCCTCACTAGTATTGGAGTATTATAAAGACAATAAATAACACTCTTCTCTTTCCCATATGAGTTTAGAACCAAGTAAGAGAGATGGAGAATCAAAGTATCAGCTTTAGTGCTGCAATAAGCTAGATTGGAGGCTACAGTTTAGATGTCTAATCACAGTGGGCCTTGTAACAAACTAGAACATAGAAGACTCTGTGAGAGCTGGGTTGTTTTGTTTGCCTCTATATCCCCAGGATCTGATTTAATAAACATGTTTTTAGCTTTATGTCTGTATTAGGCTGCCTTACTAACCTAGTTACAGGCAAATCTAGGTACTGTAGTGCTTTCCTTGAAGGTGCAGGCAGCTTATCCACATGGACTATTGCTCTAGGCGGGAAGACAGCTATAAAAAGAAGCCCTGAAGAGCTGATGTAAGCATGCTGCATTTCTTTCCTGAAGAACCGCAGGCAGTCCTCTCCCAAGACAGTGTGAAGGACAGAGAAAGGCTGGAAGTGTTCCTCCTCTGTTAGTTCCTCTTACGGAGTGTAAGGAAAATGCCCTCTCTGTGAACACGAGGGGTAGAATGTCAGTGTCCTCAAATATCTTTCGGTTATGTGTTCTTTTTGTGATTATTTTTATAAATGTAAATAATTTACCAAAACATCCGTGTCTCAACGTATCAACTTCATATGGTACTAATTGAAACTCTTCTATTCAATATTAAATTAGTGCATTTTTATACTTCCTTCCAGTTTTTCCAATTTTTTCCTTTCCAAATGTTTTATTTCTGCCAACTTTTGTAAATTACATTATTTTTATGTTGTTAAGATATTTAAGTTTTCCGTATTTGTTTTGGTTGGTTTGAAAAAATGATGACTGCCAAGAAGCACTTACATAATTTTTTATGCTGCTTTTTTTATTTTTATAATTAAATTTAAATTCAATTAATTAACATGCACTTACATTATTATAATTATATAATACTATAATATTATTACACAGAACCAAGTAAATGAATAAGCATAATCCTCTTATGAAACACAGTTTAGGTCTTACTTCTGGGGGGTGCAGTTTTCACCAGCTTCCCTAAACGTGGGGAAACCCAGTTGCCCTTAAGCTGTGAAGTTCATATGATGTGTGGTATTATCTGCATCTCATTTAGAACTTACAGGTGCCTGTTGTGTCCAGTTTTATTCTCATATTAAATTCCTTAAGGATAGTGGTTTATGTTTTGTTGGTATTTCAGTTTACATAAAAACAATAATCCTTATACAAAAATTACTGATTATAAAGAACCAGATTTTGTCCTGTGTTTCCTTCTTTACCTATATTTATTTGTATAGATATATTAATCGGATAGTAACTGTTTATTTGCTATATACAAGATACTGGGTACTGTAGGAGATAAAAGAATAAAGTAGATACAGAACCACAATCCTTATAAGTACAGGGGAGGCAGAACTTTGCATCTGCCCTCCTGGGGTTTTCACCTGGACCTGAGAATTAAATTGATATAAGACAAATTAACAGGAGAAAAGCATACAGATTTTTATGTATACCTGAGCCCCCATTGGGAAATGAAAACACAAACAAGTGGCAAAATCTAAGTGCTTATATAGTAGGTTGAAAAAAGAATGGCAGTTGTGGAAAAGTAACTAAAATATTTACAGAGACTAAAGGGAGGTAATTGTTATTTAACTAGGTCTGTTTGTACAGATTTCTCTCCCCTCTGGTGATAAGAATGTGTCTTTCCCCCTGGTATAGAGAGGGCAGCTCTCACATGGGAGTTGCATCTCCTGCTTTCAGGAAGAAAAGAGGAGGTCAAGGTGCCCTTCTTTCCTGCTGTTTTTCAAGTAGTCCTTAGCTCAAAATAGTCCTTATGCCAAATGGCACATTTTGGAGGGGCATATTCTGCCACCCTTTAAAACTTAGAGCCGAGAACAGAAGGTGAGGCAAATACATATAAGCTAGAGTTGAATCAAAAGAAATCTATAATATATGGAGGGTGTCCAAGGTGGAAGAGGTGGCATTTGCCTGGGCCTTGAAGAGAAGTAACGTTGAGTATGTGGAAGTTAGTAAAAACAAGTAGGTGAGAAACTGTGGGGCACAGTAAATAGTACATTTTATCTAGAAGGTAGGTGGTATGAAGAAGAATAGTGATTGAAGGCTGGGGTCAGATTGTGGAGTATGGGAGACTGTATCAGCTAATTTGATCCAAAGTGAGACCATAGTTCTTTCCATTAGCAGGTTTTTCAGCCTTCTCCTTGTGGTTCAAGCTGACTTTGTTCATTTTTTCTTCCATAGTTTGGAGGCAAACTGGTTACCTTTGAGAATGTCAGAATACAGGCCCAGCAGGGAGCTGAGCAGCAGCAACAGCAACACCATGTGTTCATCAGTCAGGTGGTGACAGAAAAGGAATTCCTCAGCCGATCGGACCAACTTCAGCAAGTCGTGCAGTCGCAAGGATTTGTCACTTACTGTCAGAAAAAGATTGATGCTTCTCAGACTGAGTTTGAGAAAAATGTATGGTCCTTTTTGAAGGTAAAGTTGAGATTAAAACAATTTCGTTATCTGCAAATTTAACTATTCCCATTATATTCTCAGTCTGTTCTTATGAAAAAAATTATTGCAAGATTATGAGTTCAGGAGCTTCCTGATGACATTAAAGAAACCTTATGAAGAGCACATGACCATAGTTTTATGACAAGAGTTCTTCCCTCTCTGCTTTGAAGAGCCTAATATGAAGTACTTTTTTTCATAAGTGAAAAACGACATAATAGTAACAATATTTAATTTCTGAGTAAATCCAATTAAGGAAAATGGGAAAAGAGGGAAGAGTTACAGGGGAGAAAGTTTGGAGGCATTTCTCATTCCTTTTACTGAGTTGCATTTATGACAATAGGAAATAAGAGTTTTCTGGTTGGTCATTTTTCCTCCACTGGAATGTGTCTGTTTCTTGATACTGAATTTTCCAAAGAGATCTTAAATACAATAAGGTTAAATTATAAAATTATAGAATTTTATATTTTGTAATTATTAATTTGGGGAAAGAGTTTTAGGACATTGAGTGTTCCAAAGAGTGTCATGTTTTGCATGCATATAACCACTGGACATGAGTTAGCTTGTATTTACAAAAATTATAGTTTAAAAGTAAGCTTTGGGGTGCCTGGCTGGCTCAGTCAGTAGAGCATTCGACTCTTGATCTCAGGGTCATAAGTTCAAGCCCCACAGTAGGCATGGAGCTTACTTAAAAAATAAAAAGTAAGCTTTATTCAACAGGGATAATTAATTACTAGTATACTTACTATTTTAAGAAGTAACCTATTAAAGGAAACTATTTTGGGGGTGCTTTCTTACACTGAGCCTTCTACGTAATAGATATAGAAAGCTTTCGTTGGTAACAGTAGACTTTAGTAGACTTTATTTTTGATAATTTTTAGTAATTCTACTTGGAATTTGATCAAGTAATTAAAAATTTAAAGGCAGAAAAAAAATTTAAAGGCAGGTCTTTATTTCAAGATTATGTATTCTTTAAAGGTGAACTTTGAGGATGATTCTCGGGGAAAATACCTTGAACTTCTAGGATACAGAAAAGAAGACCTAGGAAAGAAGGTAAATTTCTGCGAAAGTTAAAAGGCTGTGCTTATGCAAGTAAAATATTTATGTAGCCTAAGTGTTCTTTTTATAAACTTCTATACAGATAATCTCAAATCACTCAATAAATATTTAATAAGAATTTGTGTTTGGTTGCCAGAATTCCAAATACATATTATTAAATGTGTAATTCCACCTTGTACCTGGATTTAAAAACTGCCAGAACCACCTTGACTCCAAACTTGATTTAAAGAGCTGTGTCGTATCAGGTAGAATTGGGTCTTGAAAGATAAGAGGCTGTCAACTTCAAACATTGGAAATAACACTTGGATTTTAAGAGGGTGTGTAACCAGTGGCCCCGGGGGAAAAGAAAACGAGGGAACTGTTAGAAACCACCCCGTGTTCACTACAGCTTAAGTGATGAAAAATAGAGTACTGGTTCAGATTACCACAGTTTTCTACCCTCGCTGTTCATGCCTTTAGCCCACATTCCCAAACTCTGTATGGAGTTTGTCCAGCTGACAAATAGCTAGTAAATATTCTGGAACGAGGGCAATTTATTGTACTGAACCTGAATAAACAAAAGTCCAACTGAGTCACGTAATATTTTAACTTAGAAAAAGATTCCCTTTTAAAAAGAGAAAGTCGTATTCCAGTTTTACATTTTTGTTCTCAAAGAGGGGCTTCATTATTATTCATTCCACAATATTGACATGAACAGCACGAAAAACTCTCTGACTTTGGAAACATTGAAGGAGGTATTTTAGATTCATTGTGTAATTTGTATTAGCCCTTTGTTCTTTGAAAGGGACTGAAGTTTTCTGAAGCATTGAAGATTGCCACATATGGCATACAGCTTAGATACTGCATACTCTGAGCAGTGCCAAGCACGTTGAAGATGTCACATCACAGGCCCACCGCTTATCGACTATGTGTCTTTGCTCATTCCTTTAGGTTTTTTATATTTAATTTTATTACTAGTCTGAACTTCTTGGTGCTATAACTTTTATAGGTTTGTAAAAGGTTAATATGAAAGTTTTACTAAATACCTAATAGCAAAAATGAGGAAAAAGAATCTGATTGTCAAAATACTTCTAATAGCAGTTCTTTTAGTAGTGAGTACTTGAAGAAATTTTTTAAAATTAATTATAGCTATTTAAAGGAAAGTAGAAGAAAACATGCTTGTTTTGAGGTTAGGTTTGTGACTGAATAGCAGATTTTAGTCTTTCCTTAAACACCCCATCCCCAGTCTGAACTTTGGTGGATTTTTGCCAATGAAAATGGAGAAAGAGGTGAGCATTTGCTATATGCCTTGAAATAGAATTCCATGTAGTAGGTGAGTTGTTGTTTTTATTTCAGATTGCTTTGGCCTTGAACAAGGTGGATGGACCCGATGTGGTAAGAAGGCCTTTAAAAATAGCTACCTTCCAAAATTTGGTTTAGGTCATAACACAGAAGGAAATGTAATTTAAGAAATGTGTCTGTTTTATTGCTTTACAGTGTAAAAATAAATGCTGATTGTAGATATTTTAATAGTGAATTCTCATTTTAAAATAGTATAAGTTTAGCTGGGAGAGAGTATTCATTCCTTTCTCTTGATGGTACTTGAATTTTGCAAAAGAGGAAAAACAGTATCAATGACTGCTCAGATACTTAAGGTTAAGATCTTTGTTCCTGGGGGACATTTGGTAGGAAAAAAAGGAAGGTCTTAGTAGTAATGGCTCTTTGCTTTTCCTCTGATAGTATTTCTTAAATCAGTTTACTTAGTGTTGCTTCTTATGATTAAACTAGCTCTGAATGTTGTTGGTTGGGTCTTTTGTCTTTCTTAGTCACTAATATTCTTTTAATGTTACATTCTTCAACTTCCCTTGTAATTGTTTTGTGTACCAAAGGCTCTTAAAGATTCTGACCAAGTAGCACAGAGTGATGGGGAGGAGAGCCCTGCTGCTGAAGAGCAGCTCTTGGGAGAGGTACTTATTTCTTTCCTTTTTAATTACATTGGGAAAATATGTGATATTTGTTTATCTCACACTGAAATATGGAAAATTTGCATAACTACTTGTTCCAAAATGAAGTTGGAATATATTGTTTTCTTAGAGATTTTGGGGGTAGGAGTTTGTTTACTTGTTTGACAGAAGTATCATCTATGAAATCTTTAGTTCTTTGACCTAGCTTCTGGATTATGTATTTTAAAATTAACAGTTGACATGAGATTGACTTAATTTGGTCAGATGGATATCAGCATGTCAAAATGAAAAGAGATCTTACTCAGAAATCCACAGTACATTGCATGTAAAGTTAATCTTTTTCTTGACACATTAATATTTAGGGCCTGCTATCAGTGGCAGAGGCTTCTAGATTAGTCTTGAACTTTGAATCCAGGCATAGAATTTTTCACTAAATAAACTGTCATGATTTACTGATTGTCATGATAAATGTGTCACGAGTTGTAGTTGACAATTTTTATAACCCATTAAAAAGAGTCCTTGAACACAGAGTTGTATCATTAATTTTTTTCCTTTTGTTTTTCTGGGGTTTTTTTTTAACCATTACTAAATAATTCTGTACTTTTCTTGCTTTCTAGTTATATTTCATCTTGGAAAATTAATCAACAAGTTCTTGTTTCTCATCTCATCTTTGACTTTTTCATTGTTCTTTCTGATATGGAAATACTCTGACTATAGAATGTTTCTTACAATCCTTAGCTAAGTTATAAGAATAATTCATCAGTAAATTTAGACTTTTACAAGATAATTATTAAAAAACACTTTCCATAGAAGTAGATCTAACATTTATTTAACCTGAGAATAAAGAATATGAGTAAAACCTTTGTAAAAATTTGAACTAATTTTGGTAATACCTATTCAGAATTGTAGGATACATTGAAGGAATGTACTTTCATCTATGTACAACTAGATTAACTATGTATTATCAAATAGAGGACCATTTGGAAATAAACCTATGAATTAATAGATCAGAATAATATGTACTTAACAAAATGGTAGTCACCAATGTGTACTTTCAGAGTATTTGAAAAAATTTTGTTTAGGGAGGTAAAATTTTCCCCTTTACCTTGATGATGCTATTTATCAGATATAGTAGTTTATACATTGAAAATACTCAACATGTAATAAGCTATTTTTTTCAGCCTTATATTTCAGAAGTCCATGAATAAGGGTTTATTAATTGTTTCTTCAAAGACAAATTTGAAAAATTGTGAGTTAAAAAAAAAGAAAAGGTTTTTTAGTTGTTAGTGAATATAATCAGATCAGTATCTGATTATTTATTAATGTGAATAACTTAAGCTCTAAAATTTTTTTTTTTTTTTTAAAGTTTTTATTTATTTTTTAGAGAGCGAGCAAGCAAGAAACAGCATGAGAGGGGAGAGGGTCAGAGGGAGAAGCAGGCTACCCGCTGAGCCGGGAGCCCGATGTGGGACTCGATCCCAGGACCCTGGGATCATGACCTGAGCCAAAGGCAGACGCTTAACCATCTGAGCCACCCAGGCGCCCAAAATTTTTTTATTTGAGCTTTTAAAGTTCGAAAATGCTTCTCTTTGGTTAGGGAAAGAATTAAGGTTATGGTTATTCTCCTGTAATAGTATTAACTAATTAAGCATTATTTACAGATGATGCTACGCTGTGCCCTGCACTAAAATTCCCCAATCCAAAAATGCCCCTGACTTTGAATACTAGGCACTCACATTCAGATGTGTAGGTAACGCGATCACAGAAGATAGGTATTTTATCTCATGCAGGACAGCTATGTTTTTCTTTCAGAATTTCTCTGTAATCTCTGATACAATTTATTTTTGTCTTCTTGTGAATTTTTATACATAGAAAGCGTTTAAACTATTTTCCAGCAATATGCCTTCTTTATATTTCTTTTCTTCTAAAAAAAGAAAATATAGAATTTCTTTTTACTCAGTCTTATAGGTAGTCTCAGGAGTTTATAACAGAACTGTGTATCTTTTTACCAGACCAACCTGCTATTGCAGGTATGACTAATTTAAGAGAATACAAAATCTGCAATTGAATTTGAGTATATTCATATAGTCTTTTATGTAGCATTTGTACAAGGGCACCAGGTGATTTTTTTTTTTTCAAGACTGGTTCAATTAAAATAAAAAGACCTTATAACTAAACCTAATGATTGGACAGAAATTTTTAGACATGTAGAAAATTTTAGATGTATAGCAGCAGGGTTGCTTTAAAATCTAAATACAGTAAAATTAAAAACGTGTATTTTGCATGTTTCAGGCTATTCCTATTTGAAGTATCTAAGAAAACAAAGATTCTTCAGTAATTTCTGAGCTACCAGTAATAGATTATGTACCCTTAAGGTTTTTTTTAACATTATTCCTGATAACCTTGTATTTTATTTATGATTGTATAATGGGAATTAATACTTAGGAAAGTCTTGGATCTGAGAACTTTTCTGGAATACTTGGTATGTCATTTAGTTAGTAGGTGAATAATCATATATAAATCTTGTGTTGCTAGTAAATTATTCCAGTTTCATTCTGGCTAAATTGCTGTCCTTTCCATCTCTTTAGTGCATTAAAGAGGGAAAACAAGAATCTGAATTTCTACCATCAGCAGGAGGAACATTTAACATCTCCATCAGTGGCGGTAAGTACCTATTTCATTTTGATTTTTAGCTATTTGAAAGCAAATAGTCCCTAAGTTTAGGTTACAAATGTTTTGTCGCAAGTGGTAGAGGGTTGAAAAGAAGAACTCAGTTATTTAGTATATGTAATCGGTCTCTTGGAGATAGTGGTATATTCTGACATCTCTGTGATAAACAACTGTATAACAATCTCTATTACTCCAGTTTAAAGAATCTGAAAGATGTGTTATTTTACCTGATTTTACTTACATGCATCTCAGTATATTTCCATAGACCTCAAAAACTTTTGTTAGAAATTAATCCACTAGTAATACTCAGAAGTTAGCATTGTTTTTTCCTTTGTGTGTACATGTAAAAATTGATATGTATAGGATTTTTTCTTGTAACAAAAACTTTATTTAACTTGGATGTATTATTTCCTCATTGCAGATATTGATGGTTTAATTACTCAGGCTTTGCTGACGGGTAACTTTGAGAGTGCTGTTGACCTTTGTTTACATGATAACCGCATGGCTGATGCCATTATATTGGCCATAGCAGGTGGACAAGAACTCTTGGCTCAAACACAGAAAAAATATTTTGCAAAATCCCAAAGCAAAATTACCAGGGTATGTTATTTTAAAAATAGATAAACTGTAATACCTGTTATAACACTTATAAAAGCAATAGAGTCTTACTAAAGATAACTGAAATGCAAAAAACAGTAAAGAACAAAAAACCCAGTCATAATTCCTTGAACCAGAAATAGTTATTGTCAATGGTTTGGCACTGTTATTATTTTTATTTTTTGTACTTTGTGTATTAAATTTTTTAATGAAAAGTACTTTTCATTTTTTTATTGTAGAAAAGTTAGAATATAGAAAAATATAAAGATAAAAATTTTAATTTTAAAATTCTGATTCTTCCATCAAATTGGTACATACCCTTTGTACCTCTTCCTATGCACTTGTAGAATTTTTAAAAACAGAATCAGGCCCATATATGTGTATATATGTGTGTAGTTTTGCTTATAGATATTGCCGCTTACGTTGTAAATGGTTTACCATTTCATTAAAGATTCTTACAAAAATTTTTAATTGCTCTATAATGTTTTATAGTAAGGATATATTATTTCTCTTACTTTTGAGGTGTTTAGGCAGTTTCTAATATTTTCCTAATACAGATAAGATAGTGATAAACATCTTTGTTGTGCCCAAGGATTTTATGTGATTTCTAACTATTTAATGAGGCTGTAAGTCCTAGGAAAGGAATTTTTGGTGCAGAGAGTCTGAACATTTTTAAGGTCCTGCTTAATGTTACTAAATTTCTTTCCATACAAGTTGTCTCAGTGTTCAGTCCTGTCAGCATTGGTTGCTGTCAGTCTCCCCTGCCTTATCTTATGTCACTCCCTCCCTTTTATCTTTCAGCCACACTGGCTGCCTTTCAGTTCCTCAGACACTCTGTGTGCCTTTCTCCCTTGGGACTTTGCACCTCGTGTTCCCTTGCCCTGGAATGTCGTGGTTTTTTTTTTCTTTTCTTTTTTTTGTTTTAATTTAAATTCTAGTTAACATACAGCTTAATACTAGTTTCAGGTGTACAATTTAGTGATTCAGCACTTCCATACAATACCTGTACTCCTTAATCCCCATCACCTATTTCATCCACCTTCCCTCTGGTAACCATCAGTTTGTTCTCTATAGTTAAGAGTCTCTTCCTTGGTTTGCCTCTCTCTCTTTTTCCCCTTTGCTTATTTGTTTTGTTTCTTAAATTCCACATATAAGTGAAATCATATGGTATCTGTCTTTCTCTGACTGACTTATTTTGCTTAACATAATACTCTTTAGCTCCAGCCACATCATTGCACATGGCAAGATTTCATTCTTTTTTTATGGCTCAGTAATATTCCATTGTCTGTATATACCACCTCTTCTTTATCCATTCATCAGTCAGTGGACAATTTGGGCTCTTTCCATAATTTGGCGATTGTTGATAATGCTGCTAAAAACATCAAGGTGCATTTATCCCTTCAAATCAGTATTTTTGTATCCTTTGGGTAAATACCTAGTAGTGCAATTGCTGGATCATAGGCTAGTTCTATTTTTAACTTTCTGAGGAACCACCATTCTGTTTTCCACAGTAGCTGCACCAGCTTGCATTCCCACCAACAGTGCATGAGGGTTCCCCTTTTTCCACATCCTTGCAACATCTGTTGTTTCCTGTGTTGTTAATTTTGGCCATTCTGACAGGTGTGAGGTGATAGCTCATTGTAGTTTTGATTTGTATTTCCCTGATGATGAGTGATGTTGAGCATCTTTTCATGTGTCTGTTAGCCATCTGTCTTCTTTGGAAAAATGTCTATTCATGTCTTCTGCCCATTTTTTAATTGGATTATTTGGGGGGGATTGAGTTATATCAGTTCTTTATATATTTTGGATACTAACCCTTTATCAGATATGTCATTTGCATGTATCTTCTCCCATTCCATGGTTGCCTTTTAGTTTTGTTGATTGTCCTTCGCTGTGCAGAAGGTTTTTATTTTGATGAAGTCCCAATAGTTTATTTTTGCTTTCGTTTCCCTTGCCTCAGGAGACATATCTAGAAAGAAGTTGCTACAGCCTATGTCAAAGAGGTTACAGCCTGTGTTCTCCCCTAGGATTTTTATGGATTCTTGTCTTATATTTAGGTCTTTCATCCATTTTGAATTTATTTTTGTGTATGGTGTAAAAAAGTGGTCCAGTTTATTCTTTTGCATGTTGCTGTCCAATTTTCCCAACACCATTTGTTGAAGAGACTTTTTTTTGCCATTGGATATTCTTTCCTGCTTTGTCGAAGGTTAGTTGACCATATAGTGGTAGGTTCATTTCTGGATTTTCTGTTCTGTTGATCTATATATCTGTTTTTATGCCAGTACCATACTGTCTTGATGACTACAGCTTTGTAATATACCTTGAAGTCTGGAATTGTGATGCCTCCAGCTTTGCTTTTCTTTTTCAAAATTGCTTTGGCTATTCAGGGTCTTTTGTGGTTCCATACAAATTTTAGGATTATTGTTCTAGCTCTGTGGACAATGCTTTTGGTATTTTGATAGGGATTATGTTAAATGTATAGATTGCTTTGGGTAGCACAGACATTTTAACAATATTTGTTCTTCCAATCCATGAACATGGAATATCTTTCCATTTCTTTGCGTCATCTTCAGTTTCTTTCATCAGTGTTTTATAGTTTTCAGAGACCAGGTCTTTTACCTCTTTGGTTAGGTTTATTCCTAGGTATCTTACTATTTTTGGTGTAGTTGTGAATGGGATTGATTCCTTAATTTCTCTTTCTACTCCCTCATTATTGGTGTATAGAAGTGCAACAGATTTCTTTACCTTGATTTTGTATTCTGTGGCTTTACTAAATTCCTCTATCAATTCTAGCAATTTTTTGGTGGAATCTTTGGGTTTTCTGCATAGAGGATCATGTCATCTGCAAATAGTTAAAGTTTGACTTCTTCTTTGCCAATTTGGATGGCTTTTATTTCTTTTTGTTGTCTGATTGCTGAGGCTAGGACTTCCAGTACTATAATGAATAAAAGTGGCGGGAGTGGACATCCTTGTCTTGTTCCTGACCATAGAGGAAAAGCCCTCAGTTTTTCCCCATTTAGGATGGTATTACCTGTGAGTTTTCATATATGGCCTTTATTATGTTGAGGTGTGTTCCCTCTAAACCTACTTTACTGAGGGTTTTTATCATGCATGGATATACCTTGTCAAATGCTTTTTTCTGCATCTACTGAAAGGATCATATGGTTCTTATCCTTTCTCTTATTGATATGATGTATCATATTGGTTAATTTGCGAATATTGAGCCACCCTTGCAACCAGGAATAAATCCTATTTGATCATGATGAATGATTTTTTTTAATGTATTGTTGGATTCAGTTTGCTAGTATTCTGTTGAAGATTTTTTGCATCTATGTTCATCAGAGATACTGGCCTGTAATTTTTTTTTTAAAGATTTTATTTATTATTTTTTTGAGAGAGAGAGTGTGTGAGCGGGAGGAGGAGCAGAAGGAGAGGGACAGTCAGACTCTGCGCTGAGCACAGAGCCCTATGTGGGGCTCAATCTCACAACCCTGAGATCACGACCTGAGCTGAAACCAAGAGCCGGATGCTCAACCGACTGAGCCACCCAGGCGCCCCTATAGTTCTTTTTTGTGGTATGTTTATCTGATTTTGGTATCAGGGTAATGCTGGCCTCTTGGAATGAATTGTAAGTTTTCTTTTCTGTTTTTTGGAGTAGTTTGAGAAGAATAGGTATTAACTCTTCTTTAAATGTTTGGTAGGGCGCCTGGGTGGCTCAGCTGGTTGAGTGACTGCCTTCAGCTCAGGTCGTGGTCCTGGAGTCCTGGGATCGAGTCCCGCATCGGGCTCCCTGCTCGGCGGGGAGTCTGCTTCTCCCTCTGACTCTCCCCCTCTCATGCTCTCTCTCTCAAATAAATAAATAAATCTTTAAAAAAATAAATAAATAAATAAATGTTTGGTAGAATTTGCCTGTTAAGCCATCTGGTCCTGGGCTTTTGTTTTTTGGGAGTTTTTTGCTTACTGAATCAGTTTCATTGCTGGTTATTGGTCTGTTCAAATTTCCTATTTTCTATTTCTTCCTTTTTCAGTTTCGGTAATTTATGTTTCTAGGAGTTTACCTATTTCTTCTAGGTTGTCCAATCTGTTGACATACAGTTTCTCATAATATTCTCTTATAATTTCTTGTATTTCTGTGGTGTTGGTTGTTACTTCTCCTCTCTCATTTGTGATTTTATTTATTTGGGTCCTTTCTCTTTTCTTTTTGATAAGTCTTGCTAGAAGTTTATCAGTTTTGGGGCGCCTGGGTGGCTCAATCGTTAAGCATCTACCTTCAGTTCCGGTCATGATCCCAGGGTCCTGGGATCAAGCCCCGCATTGGGCTCCCCACTCAGCGGGAAGCCTGCTTCTCCCTCTCCCACTCCCCCTGCTTGTGTTCCCTCTCTCGCTGTGTCTCTCTCTGTCAAATAATTAAATAAAATCTTTAAAAAAAAAAAAAAGTTTATCAGTTTTTTTAATGTTTTCAAAGAACCAACTCCTGGTTTCATTGATCTGTTCTATTGCTTTTTTTAGTTTCTGTATCATTTATTTCTGCTCTAATCTTTATTATTTCCTTCCTTTTACGGGTTTTAGGCTTCATTTGTTGTTCTTTTTCTAGCTTCTTTTAGTGTAAGGTTAGGTTGCTTATTTGAGATTTTTCTTGCTTCTTGAGGTAGGCCCGTATTTCCCTCTTAGAACCACTTTGCTGCATCCGAGAGGTTTTGGACCATTGTGTTTTCATCTTCATTTGTTTCCATGTACTTTTTTTTGTTTCTTTTTTTAATTTCCTATTTGACCCATTCATTGTTCAGTAGCATGTTATTTAACCCCCATGTATGTGTGACCTTTCCAGATTTTTTTTTGTGGCTGACTTCCAGTTTAATAGCATTGTGGTCAGAAAAGGTGCATAGTATAACTTCATTCTTTTTATATTTGTTGAGGCCTGTTTTGTAACCTAATATATGACCAATTCTGGAGAATGTTCCATGTGCACTTGAAAAGAATGTGTATTCTGCTGTTTTAGAATGGAATGTTCTGAATATATCTGTAAGTCAATCTGATCCAGTGTGCCATTCAAAGCTATTGTTTCCTTGTTGATTTTCTGTTTAGATGTCCATTGATGTGAGTGGGTTATTAACTACTATTTTTGTCTTATTATCAATTACTCCTTTTGTGTTTGTTATTAATTGTTTTGTATATTTGGGCACTCCCATGTTGGGTGCATAAATATTTACAATTATTATATCTTCTTGTTGGATTGTCCTCTTTATTATTATATAGTGTCCTCCTTTGTCTCTTGTTACAGTTACAGTCTAGTCTGATATTGCTATTCCAACTTTCTTTTGATGTCCATTTGTGTGACAAATGTTTCTCCACCCCCTCACTTTCAATCTGCAGGTATCTTTAGGTCTAAAATGAGTCTCTTATAAGCAGCATATAGATGGGTCTTGTTTTTTTATCCATTCTGACACCCCATGTTTTTTAATTGGGGTGTTTAGTCCATTTACAGTCAAAATAATTATTGATAGATATGTATTTATTGCCATTTTATTATTGTTTTGTGGTTGTTCCTGGAGATTTTCTCTGATCCTTTCTTGTCTTTTTTTCACATTTTGCTGATTTTTTTTAGTGGTATATTTGGATTTCTTTCTTTTTATTTCTTGCATGTTTTTTAGTGGTTTTTGATCTAGCATTACCATTAGGTTTGTATATAGCCTCTTCTGCATATAGCAGTCTGTATGAAGTTGATGTTAGTTTAAGTTTGAACTCATTCTTTTATCCTCTCCTCCCCATTGTTTATATATGTTATTATATTTTATATCCTTTGTGTGTGTGTGTGTGAGAGAGAGAGAGAGAAGAGAGAGAGTGAGTTCCTTGACTCATTTTCGACTTCTGGGGTATTTAAGATAATTGGATAATTACCTAGTTGTATTCACAGGACAAGGTAAGCCTAGGGTCCTCCTACTCCTCTGCCATCTTCCTGTTTCCTGACCTGTTTTTTTCTTGAGGAAGTTAATTCTGACTTCATATCTCACATGTACTCCATCAGACCAGGTCATGTTTCCCTGTTAAATGTTTTGATAACACCCTATACTTTTCCTCCCCAGCCTATTTATAAAATATGTTTGTTTGATGTTGTTTGAGGAAAAATAATAACCATCTTTTATGTCAGTTGGTTCAAGGATATACTTCACTTTGTTGCTGCTTTATTCTGCATGAAATACTTTGAATAGTAGTTTTGAATGATATGATTGATTAGCCAGAGTTAATTTTTACTAACAGACCAAAGGCTTTAATTCTCCCTTTATTTTCCTTTCTTAAGCTAATTACTGCAGTGGTGATGAAGAACTGGAAAGAAATTGTTGAGTCTTGTGACCTTAAAAATTGGAGAGAGGCTTTAGCTGCAGTATTGACTTATGCTAAACCAGATGAATTTTCAGCCCTTTGTGGTAAGAAAATGAGCCTTATAGTTATATTTATATTATGTATATGGCATAGCATATTTTAAATAAAATTACTGAGAGGTATTATTAGAAATTTTTGCAAACCAACTAATCACTCCATAAGAAAAAGAAGTTCTCATTTGAATGCTTTTCTCAGAATTATTAACTACATTATTTCTCCATACCTAGTCATTATTTTTAATGATTTTGGTTTCAGGCGGACCAGAGTTGGAATCTTGCCTCTGCTACTTACTAGCTGTCTGACCTAGGAAAGATTACTTTCTAAGCCTTAGTTTATTATTTGTAAAATTGCATGTAATCAGCTTTCACTTAATAAATATTAGCTTGATAGGGGCGCCTGGGTGGCTCAGTCATTTAAGTGCCTGCCTTCTGCTTGGGTCATGATCCTGGGGTCCTGGGATCGAGCCCCACGTCAGGCTCCCTGCTCAGTGGGGAGTCTGCTTCTCCCTTTACCTCTGCTGCTCTCCCTGCTTGTGCTCTCTCTCTCTGTCAAATAAATAAAATATTAGCATAATAAAATTAGTAATTATAGCATTTGAATGGAAATTACAAATTACCATTAAAGGCCATGACTAGACTGGTGGCTAAGGAATGATACTCCTTATTTGTAAGAACAGAAGCCTTAGGGTGCTGGTATAAGAACAACCGACCATTTGCTACCTTGAAAGCATTATGAGAATATGAAATTTATAAGGTATTAACTTTATTATCGTAAGTAATTTATAGTAGTCCTGCCTACCATTGATGTTCATTCCAAATGTGCCATATTGTAGTCTACTACTTACACAAACATCAGATACAATGAAATGGAGTTAAATGTTCATTAGGATTTTTCTGTTCAAATATTGTTCCCATTTATTATTTTTTAATATAATTAATGGAAGTTCATTCTATAGCTAGGTATATAGAATCTTGTCAAGCCGTTTATTATATACAGTTAGTCACACACTTCCATTCTTTTAACAAATAAATATTTACTGAGCATTTACATAACAGTGATTTTGTTTTTACTGCTCATTGGTTGTGAAATTTAATTCATACTTCTGAAAATATTATTGGCCTACTTACAATTTCATATACAGATTGCTTTGAGTAAAATCTTATTTTGTTTTCCTCTTGATCTTTAGATCTTTTGGGAACCAGGCTTGAAAGTGAAGGTGATAGCCTCCTGCAGACTCAAGCATGTCTCTGCTATATTTGTGCAGGGAATGTAGAGAAACTAGTTGCATGTTGGACTAAAGCTCAAGATGGAAGCAGTCCTTTGTCCCTTCAGGTTAGTATCTTTGAAACTTTGTGTTGTCTTTCACCCTACTTATATTCTAGAAATTGATTCGTTCCAGAAATTCATTGCTTTCGCCTTCATTATCTATGTTTTAGAAGTTCTTTTGCTGGATAATTTATGTGTCTTTGTAACTATATTTGGAGGGACAAAGTATGAAATGATGGAATAGGTAAAATGGGGTCGCAACTGTTTATGAAATCAAGGTTATAATTTGGTAGTTTATTGGGGGAAGCAGATGGCAGTAGCATGAAAACAGCCCTAGAGTTAATTCTTTTTCCTTATGCTTCTCTCTCGCTGCCCTCTGGTGACTGTCTGTCTTGGGCAAGGAAAGAAGCAATGTGGGCAAGGAATGGGAGGCATCCCCAGTACCAATAGAGAATAGAATAAGATATTCATGGTTAAGGGAAAATGAAAGTAAGAGGTAAATGGAATCCCATATAGCACTACAGCCTGGGCAAGCGGGGTAGTAAAAAATATGGGGACTCTTCTCAGCCACTGAGTAACTATATATTTAGAACTTTTTTTCCAAGCATTTAATCAGCAGAGTCTCATAATATTTCATTCAAGTATATTTCTTTTTCTCTCTGGAAAGAGATTTTCTCAATAGAGTTGTTCTTTTAAAGACCCCTCTATTGAAACTAAAAATCTGGTAGGAAATCAAGGCTTTCCTTCTAAGTGCTTCTGAGAAAAAGCACACTTGCTTCATACTTCTGAATCTGTGTACCTTTGAAGGACAGATAGGTAGGATATTCTTGTGCTTTATACTTGAAGCTCCCCATTATTGAAATAATTGGTATCAAAGAGCAACATGAGAAACTTTGGGTTGAAATAGTAAGCTCATTGGAGGTCATGAAATAGTAAGCTCATGGTAGTACTACTACCTCATAGTAGTACTGTTTTTATAGTGTAGCTAGTATGATATTTTTAGTCATAGTTCGTTTTATACCTGCTGGAACCCAGCTTCTGCCTTTGGATATCTGCCTATCACTTTCACTTTGGATATTTGCCTACTTTAGCTCACAAGACAAATATCTGGCAGTTTAAGGATATTTAGAAGGTGGTAACCTACGACTTATCCATGAATAAGAGACCTTCTTCCTCCTTACTTTTTTTCGGTTTACTTAATTGTGGTCAGCTGTTGCAGATGTTTTTTAGAAAGAGAATAATAAGATGTACTTTTAGTAGGTTTTAGAAACCTTCATAACTCTTTTATCTTTTCCTGCTTTCTTTCATATATATCTTGGTATCTTTGTCTGGTTCTCCTTCTCTCTCCCTTCTTTTTCTCATTTAGGATCTTATTGAGAAAGTTGTCATCCTGCGAAAAGCTGTACAACTCACCCAAGCCATGGACACCAATACTGTAGGAGTTCTTTTGGCTGAGAAGATGAGTCAGTATGCCAATTTGTTGGCAGCCCAAGGCAGTATTGCTGCAGCCTTGGCTTTTCTTCCTGAAAACACCAACCAGGTAATTAGAATTGACCATTTTTCTTCTTTTAATATGTGAATAAAGGTGAGTCCAGTAGGTAGCACTCAGTATTAAACATACTGGTAGGTAGAATGTTTTAGAGCAGTTGAATTTCTATCATCTGAGTGTAGGTGAATATTACTGACAATTATTCAAGGATCATTTTAGGTGTAGCCAGACTGTATCAGAGAGATAGGATACTCTTGTTGTATGATAGATCCCTTTCTACTGAGGGGCATACTATTTGAAGAAAATAAATGGGGAAAGGACCAACTTTTTGTTTCTTAAGCCAAATGCTGATTCTTCATACAAGGTTCTTTGTAGGAATCTTCTGTGTTGAAAAGCTATAAATATTTAATACTTAACCAAACAAATGGGGTTGTGGTTTTAAAATGCCACCCCAGACATAGATACTAGTAAAGAAGTTCATTTTATATACCATTCCAGTCTGATATTTTCTGGGGACATGTGTGTGTGTGTTTATGTGTATTTGGGGCGGGGGGGCGAGGGGCGTGGGGAGAGGCATATGGAGAGGTAGAGAGAGAACCGTAAACAGGCTCCATGCCCAGTGTGGAGCGCAGCATGGGGCTCCAACCCACAACCCTGAGATAATGACTTGAGCTTTTCGAAATCAGGAGTCGAACACTTAACCAACTGAGCTACCCAGGCGCCCCAGGACAAATACATTTTTAAAGTACTGAAAGCAAAGAGAATTACATTTCTAATTTAGTGTCCTTATTTGGTATCCATTAAAATGGGCTTTTTCAATGCAGTGGAATTCAGTAATTGACTGACTATATAGTGATGGACACAGTTGCCAGGATTCTTTTCCTGAGGGAGTTTCCAAACTCAAACTGAATATAGACAAGTAAACATACAATTCCAAAAGTGATACATACTGTGAGAGAGGTAGTAGGGCTGTGGAAGCACAGAAGAGGGCAACCTAAATTTAATAATAGAGCATGGGTGGAAATTAGGGTGGGATTTGAGGACAGTTTTCCACAAGTAGAATGTTTATATCTATATTGTGTGTCTGACAGAGCTTAATTTTGAGCCTTGAAGATATTTTCTTATTTCTATACATTTTATTATTAACTTTATTTTGTTTTAATGGATTTTTTTAGTTAAATGTTTTCAGTATTTTGTCTGTTCTAGGGAATTATCAATAAATTTCATTGAGTAAAAATACTTATATCTGTGTTCCAGGATTATGGAGGTATGACTAGTTGGTTTTGAACACACTTACATGTCATATCTTTATGAGAATATTAGGTAGAATAGAAACATAGGCTTTATGATGACTTTGGCATAATAGTTTTATGCCTTTTTACTTAATAAGATCCCATTATTAAGTTATAAGACCCTTTATTTTAAGAATAACTTAATCTAAAACCTTTAGATCTTCTAGCCTTAGTATTAAACTCTTTATTTTCATTACCATTTCTATAACAACATACATTTTCTATACATCATTCTTCATGTTTTCTTTGGACTTTTAAAGAACGTTCTTTATGTAAAAATACACAATTTCGAAGTTGCTGTCTTCTATGTATCTCAGTAGACTCTTAGTTTTTTCTGGGGAATATGTTCTGAGACTTTGTGATATCATTATAGTATTTAATCTTCCTCCCTAATAGGCAATAAAATATACCTTAAAGTTTAAATGACAGCTTTAAACCTTTAATGAATTTATAGAAATGTATGATTTTTAAAGATATTAAAATCAGTTCTTGCTGAAATATTTTAACATTAATTTTTTGTTGTTTGTTAATACCTAGAACATGGATGTGGTCAACTCACACGTATTGTAGATCTGTATAATTATAGATCTGCATAAGCTACTGTGAGTGTGACATCTTACTCTTTTAACTTATTTCCAGCATCTCTTTTTTTTTTATTAATTTTCCTCTCTTTCTCAGATCACCATTTTCTTCCATCACCATCTTTAGCAGTTGATTCTTTTGAGGGGCCTTATTTCCCTATAAAGAAACAAAGTTGTATTTTTTTTAACACTTTTATGATTTGTGAGCATTACTCAACTACAAGAAAATATAAAAGAGCAGAGATGATAAGTGACACTGATCTTACATATTACTATGTAGTGGGTGTAATTCCAATCCCTGTCTCAGTTAAATTACAAGTCACACTATATATCTTGGACCTTTGGTATCAGTCTTGAGTATCAGAATCCATGATGTGAAACCCTCATGTGCCAGGGTCTGTTATATAGGAAACAGCATATAAACAAGGAGCATATGACCGATCAAGCTTACTTGAAGAAAAGCAACATGCTATCATATAGTTGGGTGAACGCTAACAGTTTGCTTTGTTTTCTTCCATTACTTATTTTAGCCAAATATTGTGCAGCTTCGTGACAGACTTTGTAGAGCACAAGGACAGCCTGTACCAGGACAGGAATCACCTAAAATTCCTTATGAGAGGCAGCAGCTGCCCAAGGGCAGGCCTGGACCAATGGCTGGCCACTCACAGATGCCAAGAGTTCCAGCTCAACAATATTATCCGCATGTGAGTGATACGGTCTGGATTAAGTAGAACATTTATATATTTCTCTTCAAATTGGTGGTTTTAGTTTATTGGGTAAGAAACCTTAATCTGCTATGATAAAACTAGACAACATATTATTTTAATAGTTTTTCTTTTTATATTCTTGGAAGTGGTATTTATGGTCAGTTTTTTTAAATGATCACTTTAATCTAGGCAAACAGATTATATTTTAAATATAAATTAATTTAAGCTCTCTGGGGAGATTTCTTCTTATTTCTCATCACTCATACTTCCCTTACACATGTACATGTGTTCTTGAAACTGCTACAGTTTGATTCATCCAACAAACTATAAGTAGTGGGAACAATTTTTTGGGTGATTTGGTTAATATTATAAAATATTCTTAGAAAATGTACTCTTTTTTTTGAGTATTCTATTCTGAATCATTATTATAAGTTTACTGTGTCTACTGTATTTCTGGACCCACAGATAGCCTTCATGTTCTTAAATGGAAAGTACATTTTCATAAGTAAAAAATGGTCTTCACTGATAACAAAGTTAGCAGGTACTCTGCCCATTTTAAAATACAACAGATTAGGGGCGCCTGGGTGGCTCAGTCGTTAAGCGTCTGCCTTTGGCTCAGGTCATGATCCCAGGGTCCTGGGATCGAGCCCCACATTGGGCTCCCTGC